CCCCGCTGTTCCCACCACCGTCCCCACTGTCCCCACCAGTGCCCCCTCCACCCTCGCACTGACCCCACTGTCCCCGCCACTGTTCCGACCACGGTTCCAGTCTCCCCACTTTCTTCACGGCCCCAACCACTGTCCCACTGTCCCCGCTGTCCCACTGTCCCCGCCGCTGTCCCACTGAGCTGTCCCACTGTTCCCACCACTGCCCCCAGTGTCCCCACCACTGTCCCTACTGTACCTCTGTCCCATTATCCCACCGCCGTCCTCGCCACCGCCCTCACCAATGTCTCCACCACCACTGTACCCTCCACTGTCCCACTGTTTCCACAACGTTCCCACTGTTCCCACACCACTGTCCCCACCACCACAGTCCCCACCACTGTCCCACTGTCCCAACTGTTCCCACAATTGTCCCCGCTGTCCCCACCAGTGCCCCCACCAGTGTCTCACTGTCCCCACTCTCCCCACCGTTGTCCCGCTCTCCCCTCTTTCCCCACGGTCCCCACCACTGTCCCACTGTCCCCACTGTTCCCACCACTGTCCCACTGTCCCCACCGCTGTCCAACCGTGCTGTCCCACCGTCCCCACTGTCCCCATCACTGTCCCACTGTCCCCACTGCCCCCACCACTTTCCCCACTGTACTACTGTCCCACACTGTCCTCACCACCGCCTTCACCACTGTCCCCTCCACTACCGTCCCCACCACTGTCCCACTGTCTACCAGGCTTGCGCGCAAAATGCTTCTCCGAATCCATTGGGCTGCGAGCGAAAACCTTATCCTAATTCAGCGGCTCCCCTACGAAAACCTTATCCTAACTCACTGGCCTCCCCACGAAAACCGTATCCTAACACCAGGCTTGCGCGCAAAATGCTTATCCGAATCCATTGGGCTGCGAACGAAAACCTTATCCTAATTCAGCAGCTCCCCTACGAAAACCTTATCCTAACTCACTGGCCTCCCCACGAAAACCGTATCCTAACACCAGGCTTGCGCGCGAAATGCTTCTCCGAACCCATTGGATTGCTGGCGAAAAACCTATCCTAACTCAGCGGCTTCCCTACGAAAGCCTTATCTTAGCACCAGGCTTACGCGCCAAATTACTATCCGAATCCATTGGGCTGCGAACGAAAACCTTACCCTAACTCACTGGCCTCCCTACAAAAACCTTATCCTACCACCAGGCTTACGCGCCAAATTCTTCTCCGAACCCATTGGGCTGCGAGCGAAAACCTTATCCTAGCTCACTTGTTGCCTCCCTACGAAAACCTTATCCTAACTCACTTGCCTCCCTGCGACAACACTATCCCAACACCAGGCTTACGCGCGAAATTCGTCTCCGAATCCGTTGGGCTGCGAGCGAAAACCTCATCCTAACTCACTGGCCTCCCTACAAAACCCTATCCTAACTCACTGGCCCCACCTCGAGGACAACGACGTCTAAACCTCAGGGGCCCAGCGTGAGAACCCAATCCGAATACCTTGGGTTCCGCTCAGCGCGCCTCCGAAAACCTTACCCTAACCTTATCGAAACTCCACGGGTTCTACTCGAAGCGCGAATAACTTCGCGCCTCGCGCTGCAATCTCCTGCTGTCCTAGCTCCAAGGATGCGAAGCGCGTCCACCTTCGCTCTGCGAACCGTCGTAGGCTCAGACCGCGAAGCGCGAATAACTTCGCGCTTTTGCGCCGCCACCCCGGGAGCGCGAAGCGCGACTAGCTTCGCACCCTCGAGGGAGCCCTTGCCTCCCAAAGAGTCGGCACCATCTCAGCCATGAGTTTTCTCTCGTCGTTTTTCCGATGGCTACAATTGGCACCTTACTCACATGTCGTAATTGTCAGCCTTTTTACCTAACAGCGAAGACTGATAGGTTTCTAGTGGTCTCAAAAGAGCTCACAGATCACTCCACAGGGGGGTCCGGGCAGGTGTTGGGGAGTTGCCGGGCGGCAGGGTGCCGGGCTCGTTTTTCACCAACAGTCACACACTTCGTGCTCTTCGACTTCCCAGAACTCCATTCCCAGGCCACATTCTGAATACCCGGATGCAACAGTCACACACAAAGTGCTCTTCGAGATCCCAGAACGCCATTCCCGGGCCACATTTAGAATAACCGGATGCAACAGTCACACACTTCGTGCTCTTCGAGTTCCCAGAACTCCATTCCCGGGCCACATTTTGGATGCCCGGAGCCAACTGTAGGCCACTTCGTGCTCTTCGAGTTCCCAGAACTCCATTCCCGGGCCACATTTTGAATGCCCGGAGCCAACTGTAGGCCACTTCGTGCTCTTCGAGTTCCCAGAACTCCATTCCCGGGCCACATTTTGAATGCCCGGAGCCAACTGTAGGCCACTTCGTGCTCTTCGAGTTCCCAGAACTCCATTCCCGGGCCACATTTTGAATGCCCGTAGCCAACTGTAGGCAACTTCGTGCTCTTCGACTTCCCAGAACTCCCATTCCTGGGCCACATTTTCAGCAGGTGCAAGAGCACGACGAGGAGGAGGACGAGCAAGACCAGGAGGACGAGGACGAGCAGGAGCAGGACGAGGAGCAGGAGGAGCAGGAGAAGAAGGACGAGCAGGAGGAGGAGGAGGACGAGCAGGAGGAGGAGGACGACCAGGAGGAGGAGGACGACCAGGAAGAGGAGGAGGAGGAGGAGGAGGGGAGGGGGAGGAGTACCAGGAGGAGGAGGAGGAGGAGGAGGAGGAGGAGGAGGAGGAGGAGGAGGAGGAGGAGGAGGAGGAGGAGGACGAGGACGAGGAGGAGGAGGAGGAGGAGGGGGGGGAGAGTACCAGGAGGAGGAGAACGAGGACCACCAGGAGGAGGAGGAGGAGGAGGAGGAGGAGGAGGAGGAGGAGGAGGAGAGAACACCAGGAGGAGGAGGACGAGCAAGACGAGGAGGACGAGAACGAGGACGACCAGGAAGAGGAGGAGGAGGAGGAGGAGGAGGAGGGGAGGGGGAGGACTACCAGGAGGAGGAGGAGGAGGAGGAGGAGGAGGAGGAAAGAGGGGAGGAGGACGAGGAGGAGGAGGAGGAGGACGAGAGGAGGAGGGGGGGGGAGGAGCACCAGGAGGAGAGAACGAGGACCACAGGAGGAGGAGGAGGAGGAGGAGGAGGGAGGAGGAGGAGGAGGAGAGAGGAGCAACCAGGAGGAGGAGACGAGCAAGACGAGGAGGACGAGAACGAGGACGAGCAGGAGGAAGAGGCGGAGGAGGAGGAGGAGGAGGAGGAGGAGCAGGAGAAAGAGGAGGAGGAGGAGGAGGAGGCAGGCTGAGGCTGAGGCTGTGACTGCGACTGCCGTTGCCGCCGCGACTGTCATCGCGAATGCGACTACGACTGCGAGAACAGCAAAATTCGAAAACTGGATTTTCATCTGAATCTTAAGGGGAATGCTTTCAGATATGCTTCTACACATCGCTGTTAGGTTGCTTTGCCGGGATAATTTTTCTGAGCGCCCGAAATTGGCTTGTGACTCGCATGTTCGTTCCGCTTTTTATAGATATCTATGCTGGGACGTCACTCACCAGTCAGTGGGGGGAAAATACCCAGCCATACGTTTAGACACGAAATATACATGCGAACATAGACATGTTTAGACACGTTTAGACACGTTCAGACACGGCAGAATAGACACGGCGTAAAATTTTAGACACTGCTTGAAAAATGAACACGTTTAGACACTCGAGCACGCCGTGCAAGCGAGAGCGCCGCGCGTCTATTCATGTCTATAATAACTTGTTGTTTTAGACACTCGCGCACCGCGCTCGAACGAGAGCGCCGCGAGTCTATACGCGTCTAGCGCAAAAACCATTGACGATCATCTACAGGCGATCTATGTGATGGCGTGTAACACTCGACCAATATCGCATCCTGACAGACGTGTCTATTCCTCAGAGCCCGAACGCTAGCTAGCGCCGTATAGACTCAGCTGCGCTCTCAGTTCTCGCGCTCGTTCTCTATTTTTTCCCCCCCCCTCTTCCTCCCCCTCCTTCTCCTCTCCCTTCTGCCCCCCCCTCCCACCCCCCTCTGTTTTCTTTCTTTTCCCCCCTTGGATGCGGAATGCCGTGTACACGCCCTCCTCTCCCGAGGGCTTCGTCTCTCGTGAAAACAAAACCATGGGGCCGCGCTCCCAGGGCCACGACCCCTCGAAAACAAATGCGTCCTTTGCTCGAGGCCAAGATGGCCCAAAATGCCTAAGGCGCAGCCCAGCATGGCCTCTAAGACGACCTGGTGTGACCCATGGACGGCGCCAACCAAACGTGCGCGGGCACCAGCACCTACCGGCAACTAACAGCAGCTAACTACAACTAAACGGCAAACAAGCAGCCATTAGGTTACAAAGTTGCGCCCAGCAATTGCCACATAATTGCTACGTCCCCGCTCGCTGATGGGAGCCATGGTGTTATTGATCGTCTCTTGGGCCTCGTGGGGGTCTTCTGGGGACCGTGTGGAGCCCTTCTGGAACGCTTTTGGGACAATTTTGGGCCGTCTTGGGGCCCTTTGCGGCCGTCTTGGGGCGTCTTGGGGCTCTCTTGGGGCCCTTTTGGGAGCCTCTTTGGGCCCTCTTTGGGCCTCTTGAGGCTCTCTTTGGGGCCGTCTTGGGCCGTCTTGGGGCCCTCTTGGGCCGTTTTGGGCCCCTCAGGGGCCCGTCTGGGAGCCCTGGTGGACCGTTGTCGGGCCCTTTTGGGGCGCCTCTGGGGCCGTCTTGGAACGATGGGGCGTCTTGGGCCGGCGGAGGCCCTCCCTATGGGGCCACGAAGCGCTGTACTGGGTGGGTGAAAATGCCAAATCGGGTGTGCGGGACGCGTGCGGACGGCAGCACTGGGATCTTCGGTGGGGCTCCCCATGGGGCCACGGAGCGCTGTACTGGGTGGGTGGAACGCAGGGAGGAGGGAGGAGGGGCCCACGAAACGGTGTAGTGGGTGTGCGGGACGCATGCGGACGGCAGCACTGGGACCTTCGGTGGGGCTCCCTGTGAGGCCACGAAGCGCTGTGCTGGGTGGGACGCAGGGAGAAGGGAGGAGGGGGCCACGAAACGCTGTACTGGATGTGCGGGACGCATGCGCCATCATGGCATGTCCGAGCTCAGCCCGCGGGCTCAACGGTGTTCCGCACTGCATCCGAATGCCATGCCAGACCCGATCCGACCCGAGAGCATCACCACCCTGGCTTCCGACGCTTCTCCTCCCAGCCTGGCGAGAAGTCGTGATGCCCGCCCGGCTTCCCCACGAAGGGGTTCACGTGCTCGTCGTGCCCCTTCCAGAAGATCTTCGCGGCCAACTCTGGCCTCTCCTCGAGCAGCGCGAGAGGCCTGTCGATCCCACGCCGCTGCTCCGCGGGCAGGTGGTACCGACGCGTGTTGGCCGGGTTGACGAGCTCAGTGGACGGCCTGACGTCCATGTACCAGCCGCCAGGCCCAATGTCAAATGCATTCGGGTCGCAGGCTCGCCAGCGCATCTCGTCAATCGTCGGGGCCGACAGCCCAGCGTCTAGACCTGGGAGAGAGAAGGATCCACCGCCGCTCTACTGTGGAAAATTTCGCCCTCCCCTTCCTCCGGAACCCGGCCCCCCCCCCCTCCGAAAATCCCCTCCCCCTGCTCGACAATTACACAATATGAAAATACTCTCCCACTTCCCCTGATGGCGTCCCGAAGAAACCCGACACCCCCCCGCGTATTGTTTTTTACACACATGATTCCCGGGAAACGGGTTTTCGCTTGCGTTTGTTTTCAAAATGCTGCTCTCGCTGAGGCGCCGGCCTCATTTCTGCTCCCGAATCGTTCCGAATCGTGCTCCCTCTGCAGCGTGGGCCTCATTTTCGGATCTGTGTTTGGCCTCGTGTTCAGGATGGGTTCTCGCCCCAGCGCGGGCCTACTTCTCGCGCGCCCATCCGCCCGCCACCACCGCGCCCGCACCACCACCACCACCACCAACCACCACAACCCACCACCAGCACCACCACCACCACCACCAGCCACACCACCACACAACCACCACCACCAGCCAGCAGCACCACTACCACAACAACCACAACCACGCACACACGCACGCACGCACGCCCACCACCACCCACTACGCACACGCGCGCGGAGCCACAGGTCCGCTACGACACGCGTCCGCGGATAGAGAAAATCAGCGCCATGGTAAAGGATGGGAGGGAGGGGTAGGACGTCAGATATGACGCGAGCGCACATAGCTGTAACCCCCCCCTCCCCCCCCTCCCCCCTCCCCCGGGCACCCCCCCCCCTAAAACCCCTCTCCCCCCCCCGCTCTCGGGAAAACGGGGGGTGGTACTACCTGTCTCGAACTACCTGCCCCCCCCCCCCCCCCTCGCCGCCGGCAAAAGACTCCCGGGTCCCCACCACAGTCTTCACCACCGCCCTCACCACTGTCCCACTGTCCCCACTGTCCCCACCATTGTCCCACTGTCCCCACTGTTCCCACCACTGTCCCCAATGTCCCCACCAATGCCCCCACTACCGTCGCACTGTCCCCACTGTCCCCGCCACTGTCCCCACCACGGTCCCACTCTCCCCACTGACCCCACTCTCCCCTCAACTCCCACAGTCCCCACTGGCCCCGCCACTGTTCCACCTTCCCCACTATGCCCGCCGCTGTCCCACTGAGCTGTCCCACTGTTCCCACCACTGTCCCGCTGTCCCCACCACTCTCCCCACTGTACCACTGTCCCATTGTCCCATCACCGTTCTCACCACCGCCCTCACCAGTCCCAACCACCACCGTCCCCGCCACTGTCCCACTGTCCCAACCCCTGTCCCATTGTCCCCTCGCCACTGTCCCCCCCATCACCATCCCCACCACTGTCCCACTGTCCCCATTGTCCCCACCACTGTCCCACTGTCCCTACTGTTCCCACCACTGTTCCCACCACTGTCCCCACCACTGTCCCCACTGTCCCCGCCAGTGCCCCCACCACTGTCGCACTACCCCCACTGTTCCCACCACTGCTCCCACCACGATCCCACTCTCCCCACTGTCCCAACTGTCCCCACCACTCTCCCCTCTGTCCCCACTGTCCCCACCACGGTCCCACTCTCCCAACTGTCCCCACTGTCTCACTGAGCTGTCCCACTGTGATGCCCCTCTGTCCACAATGTCCCTACCACCCCACCACTGTCCCACTGTCCCCACTGTCCCCACCGTTCTCCCCACTGTACCACTGTCCCAATATCCTGACCACCGCCCTCACCACTGTCCCCACCACCACCGTCCCCACCACTGTCCCACTGTCCCCATTGTCCCCACATCTGTCCCATTGTCCCCAAAGTCCCCAACACTGTCCCCACTGTCCCCGCCAGTGCCCCCACCACTGTCGCACTACCCCCCCTGTTCCCACCACTGTCCCCACCACGGTCCTGCTCTTGCCACTGTCCCCACTCCCAACCACCATCCCCACCACCGTCCCAACCATTGTCCCCACCAGTCCCCCATCCGGAATGGGAGAGGACGGGGAGTCGTTGCGGCGAGGGAGGAGGGGAGGGGAGGGGGGGGGGTCGAACCGGTAACTAGTGACACCTCCAGATTTTCCAGGAGGGGGGGGGAAGGGGTTCGAACCGGTAGTGACCCCCCTCCATTTCATGATGGACGGGGGGAGAATTGGGGGGTCGGAACCCCCAGTGACCCCCCCTGCTTGTCGAGAGGGGGGGGGGCGGGTTGGAACCCCCCAGTGACCCTCCCTGGTTTTCTGCCAGCAACGTTAGAACACGCTCTTTCAGACCTGGCACCCTAGGCTCCGCGTAGTGCGTGTACTTGAAGATGACCTCATCGTTAGACATCGCAAAATTGTGGATGTGACGGGAGGCCACGACAGGCGTCATACTGCCAGAGCTGCCAGTGCGGACCTCCTGCATGTCGATCCCGCCATCCATGACACAGACCGCGAGGATAGCGTCTGGGTGCCACCACGCAGGAACGGTGGTGGGACAATCGATGTAATACTCAAACACTTGGGAAAGCAACAGTACCTTCGCGTCCTTGACGCATGCGTCTTGTGGTTTTCTGCCCCCAGCCAGCTTGCGCTTCACCTCCGCGAACGCGGTGCTCTCACACTCAGCGAGGGCAACAAGAGACTCACGAAGCGGGATTTCGTCAGAGTCCGCGACGATGAGGATGTCCTCTTTGTGCAACTCCCATGTGCCCGCGGAGTCCTGCAAGCCCCTTTGGAATTGGGCGCGGATCCACTCCTCCAAGATGAACGGATCCGTGCTTTGGTGATGCCCTGGCCTGCTCAACTTATCCCGCTGCTCTGAAGACCATTTCGGAAATAGTTTGGGGTTCCACTCTGGAATCGGATTCTCCAACACGACGTGCCGCAGCTTGTCCCCATAGCGCTTCCACCTCGCGTCAGACATGTTCAAGCTCGGCTGCCTTGGAGCTCCTGTCAGGGTCACTAAAGGATCCAAAGCAACGATCCGATCAACGAGCGGATAGATCTCTGCGAAAGTCAGGTCATAGACGTCCTGCTGGCCGTTGTTCCCGACGAGGGTGCAGTAAAATAGACGCGGTCTTCGCTGACCCTCTGGACGAGCTGTCCAGCCGAAATGCTTGCAAAGCCCATCGATCCCGAACTCCTGCGCCACGCTCGCCGCCGCCAGGACCAGGGGTCTGGCCCGCTCGGTCGCTGCCGCCACAGGCACGGCCACGCCAACGCCTGTGGTGGGCTCGCCCGCGCACAGGGCTGGCCGCCCGGGCGGCGACCCTGCGCTTTCCTGCAGCCCTTGGAAACCGAAGGAGATTGCGTACGAGGCTCCCGCCAAGTCGGACAATCTCGCCAGGCCCGCGGCAGCCCCCAGGCAGAAGCCGACCGTGAGCCCGGCGCCGGCTGTGAGAGCGTATCGGATGCAGTGGTAGCCCATGATTAACCGCTCATGGCCGCTCGTACGTCCCATGATTAACCGCTCGGGGCCGCGCTTACTTGCCTGCTCGGACTCCACCTTGAGCCGAAAGGGTACGGATCATGGTGGGGATGATGCTGCTGATGATGATGATGGTGCTGATGATGATAATGATAATGATGATACTGATGATGGTGATGATGATGATGATGATGATGATGATGCTGATGATGCTGATGATGCTGATGTTGATGCTGCTGCTGATGATGATGGTGGCGGTGGTGATGCCGATGAGCAGATGAGGACGTGGACGATAATGGTGGTGATGAGGGGGTGGGCGACAACGGCAACGACGAAGACGAATACGATTATCCCAGTGCGACCCTACCTAGGAGTTGGAGCATCTAGGAAAGCAACATCTACATCTACATCGACAGCTACATTAACATCTACAGCTGCATCTACATCTACATCAACATCAACAGCGATATTCACATCTACATCTACATCTACATCTACACCTGCATCTACATCTACATCTACATCTACACCTACATCTACATCTACATCTACATCTACACTTTCGCATTGGTTTTGTTCCCAACCATCATGTGGTGTTGGGTCCTCGTTTTGAAGAGACGGTGCCCCGCGTTCCTCTCCTTCCTTCCTTCCTTCCTTCCTTCCTTCCTCCCCCCTCCTCCCCACCCCCCCCTCCTCCTGCCCGCGTGCGGTTCCTCCACCCAGGGCAGCGTTTCGTAGCCCCATAAGGAGCTCCACCGAAGGCCACAGTGGGGGTGTCCACATGCGGTTCCCCCATCCAGCGCAGCGTTTCGTAGCCCCATGGGGAGCTCCACCGAAGGCCCCAGTGGGGGTGTCCACATGCGGTTCCCCCACCCACGGCAACCCCTCGTAGCCCCATAGGGAGCTCCACCGAAGGCCCCAGTGGGGGTGTCCACATGCGGTTCCCCCACCCAGCGCAGCGTTTCGTAGCCCCATAGGGAGCTCCACCGAAGGCCCCAGTGGGGGTGTCCACATGCGGTTCCCCCACCCACGGCAACCCCTCGTAGCCCCATAGGGAGCTCCACCGAAGGCCCCAGTGGGGGTGTCCACATGGGAAAGGACGAGGAGGGCTAGGTGGAACACGTAGAGCAGCATGAGAAGAATGAGTAACGGGATAGGGATTCGCTTTTAGCTTACACCACATAGCTTGACCACGGTGGACATAGCTTACACCACGGTGGGCGCGGCCCTTGGCGGCCAATATCCGGTCCTATTGGCTGACATCGGGTGCTATTTGCTGCTGTCGGCTCCCGGCGGCTACACTCGGCTGCTATACGAGACTGCAGGCTCACATCAAAACTACCGAGTGTTAAACCCAGGGTAAAGAGGGGGAAGAAATAAGGAGCATCCTCATTGATCCTCCTCTTCTTCCTCCGGTTTTCCTGCTCACGCGAGGGGATGCCAATCGAGCGCGTCGTACGGGACATCCCCACGACCTGCTCTGGTACAAGTCGCGTCACAATTAACTTGCCAAATGTGTCGATCGAGAGTTTGGCCTAAAAGTGTCCCCATCCGCTTCTTACCCTTCGTCCTCCTCCCCCATCCACCTCCTCCTCCTCCTCCTCCTCCTCCTCCTCCTCCTCCTCCTCACTCCTTCCATTCAGCTCCCTCCATCCACCCATCCCACTCGAGCGGTGGCGCAGGAGTTGTGAGGATGTCTCGAGCGGCGGCGCCCGAATTGTGAGGACGTTTCGAGCGGCGGCGCCGGAGTTGTGAGGATGACTCGAGCGGCGGCGCCAGACTTGCGAGGTTGTCTCGAACGGCGGTGCCAGAGTCGTGGACGCCCCTGACGCCCTTGGCTCTCCTGACGCTCCTGACGCTCTTGACGCTCCTGACGCTCCTGTCGCCCCTGACGCTCCTGACGCCCTTGACGCTCCTGACGCCCCCCGGCGCAAGAGTTGTGAGGATGTCTCGAGCGGCGGCGCCGAAGTTGTGAGGATGTTTCGAGCGGCGGCGCCGGAATTGTGATGATGTCTCGAGTGGCGGCGCTGGAGTTGTGAGGATGTCTCGAACGGCGGCGCTGGAGCTGTGAGGATGTCTCGAGCGGCGGCGCTGGAGTTGTGGACGCCCCTGACGCTCCTGACGCTCTCCTGACGCTCCCTGACGCTCCTGACGCTCCTGACGCTCCTGACGCTCCTGACGCTCCCTGACGCTCCCTGACGCTCCTGACGCTCCCTGACGCTCCCGGCGTGCCCGACGCTCCCTGACGCTCCCTGACGCTCCCTGACGCTCCCTGACGCTCCTGACGCTCTTGACGCTCCTGACGCTCTTGACGCTCTGACGCTCCGGAGTCTTTTGACGCTCCTGACGCTCGAGCGGCGGCGCCGGAGCTGTGAGGATGTCTCGAGCGGCGGCGCCGGAGTTGCGAGGATGTTTCGAGCGGCGGCGCCGGAGTTGTGAGGATGTCTCGAGCGGCGGCGCCGAAGTTGTGAGGATGTTTCGAGCGGCGGCGCCAGAGTTGTGAGGATGTCTCGGCGCCGGAGTTGTGAGAATGTCTCGAACGGCGGCGCCGGAGTTGTGAGGATGTCTCGAGCGGCAGCGCCGGAATGGTGGACGCCCCTGACGCTCCTGACGCTCCTGACGCTCTTGACGCTCCTGACGCTCCTGACGCCCCTGACGCTCCTGACGTTCTGATGCTCCTGACGCTCCTGACGCCCCCCGGCGCCCCCGACGCTCCCTGACGCTCCCTGACGCTCCCTGACGCTGCTGACGCCCCTGACACTCTTGACGCTCCTGACGCTCTTGACGCTCTGACGATCCTGACGCCCCTGACACTCTGACGCCTGGAGCGTCAGGAGCGTCAGGAGCGCCAGAGCGTCAAGAGCGTCAGGAGCGTCGAAAGCGTCAGAGCATCAGCACTTTTTTCAGGGGCGCGCTGCGCCAGCTCTCCGAAACTGGAACCCAAGAGTCGGATCGGCCAGGAATCGAAGCTCCTGAGTTGGCCAAGCCTCTCAGGGGCAACTGGCGAAAGGCCATGAAAGGCCTGGCCAAGCTTGGTGCTGGCATATCACTGAACCCCCCCCCGCGAACTTCACGCGACGCCCCATGACTTTCGAACCAGCCGGCCTTGAAGGCGATGTGATATCACTTCTTTTTTGCGCAACGGCAAAGCGAGGTGCAGTAGCAGCAGTGGTCTGGCTGATGGGGCAACGTCGGGCCTATCCTCCGACGAAGTGCCACACAGCATCTAACGCAAGGACAAGGAAGTCCGCCCACCCCTTTGGGTGAATGGTGTGTGAAATCGACGGGCAACCCGCCTCATGCAATGCCCAGGTACCCTCGCCCATTTGACAAGTGGCCCCGATTGACAGATTTGCCACTGGGAACAAGGAGGGTTCCAGTCTCCCGAGTGTCCACTGAAAAGTGACACAAATTGACAGGACATCTTTGAGCCCAGAAATGGGAGATCTCGGGCGAAATTGGTTGAACCACCTCAGGTCTGGGCATCCCCGAAAATACGATCCCGACGATGTCTCAAGCGAAAAAGATCGGGACCACGTGAGGTGAGGACATAAGACGTACATAAACCTGGAGTGGCAATGAGATCTCAAGCGAAACGAACAGTCCACGGCAACTGCGAGCCCAGAGCAGCGAGGAAACGGGATCTGATACCGTGCGGCAAGAGCATCGACGAATCCAGAATAACGAGGATGCACCGGGCGAAGATTGCTCTGCGAGGATGTTTCAAGCCAAAAAGCTGGACCGCCTCATGACAGCGGCGAAGAAGCCGAAGCGAAATGGGCTGGACTCTCTCGCGCGGCAACTCGAAACCCATAACTGCAGGGATGTCTCGAGACCGGCCGGACCGCCTCACAGGCGGCATCTCAGGGCCCAAATTACCGATGATGGCTTCGCCGAAACCGACCCAGACAACTTCTAGCATGTGGTCTCCTAACTCAAAGACCCAGCCGTCTTCTGGGCAGGAGATGGTCAATCGCGGTTCCTTGTCCAACCCCATGTTTCCCCTTCGGGGATGGGGTCGTTGCTGCTCCTGGATGATACTTGCCACCTCGCCCAATCTACCGACCGCTAACCCGAGTCACTGCCACCCCCCTCGATTCAAACCAAGAACGTGTCCTCAGGTCCTTGCCATCATCCTCTCAACCTCAACCATCACGCCTGAGGAGTCGTTCAGAGCCCCAGACCCCACATCGCGACATCTTCTCCTGGGGCTTCTCGCGGTTTCTCTCGTGACCGTTTCGGAGCGATGGCGGCCCCAAAACGGGCCCAAGAGGGCCCAAAGAGGCCCACGACGGCTCAGAACGCCCCGAGACGCCCAAAGATCGCTCCAAGACGCCCTAAATGGTCTCAAGATGGCCCAAGAGGCCTCTAAGATGCCCCAAGAGGCCTTGAAGATGCCCCCCAAGAGGACCCTGAGAGGCAAAAATCCGCCGACCCCTTGTGGGTCTCTAGGCGTGTGAGATAGTTCCCCCCCCAAAAGTATCCCCCCAGGGACCCCAAACCGGCGATTTGACCCCTCCCCCCGGGCCCGGGACGAGCGACTCACGGGCTTTTTTGGGCCCAAAAAGGGCTCAAGACGGGCCAAGAAGGTCCCAAGACGCCTCCAAGACGGCCCACGAGGGCCCCGATACGCCACACGAGCGCTCCAAGACGCCCAAGATGGTCACATGACGAGCCAAGAGACCTCCAAGACGGCCCAAGCGGCCTCCAAGAGCAGTCCTCAGAAGGGCCTACGAGCTGAAAACTGTGAAATTCCTATGAAAAACCTACATTTTGATGATATACGACTTGACGGCCTTCACGGCGTTGAAGACCGTCCAAGAGCACCCTAAGACCGCTCCAAGACGGCCCAAGAGGCCCCCAAGAGGCGCCCAAGTCGGCCCCAGAGGGTGCCAAGACGGCCCAATAGGCCCCCAAGACTGCCCAAGAGGGCCCCAAGACGGCCCCACGAGGGGCCCAAGAGGGGGAGCTTGAACCGACAATCCGAGCCTTCCGCCCCAAGACGGCACCAGAAGGCCCCAAGAGGCCACAGGAGGCCCCCAAGACGCCTCCAAGAAGCTCCAAAAGGCCCCCAAGAGGGCCCCAAACGGTCCCAAAACGGCCCCCAAGAGGCTTCGAAACTGCCTCCAAAAATCCCGCGAGAAGCCCCTCGCCCATTCTTCCTTTTCCTCCCTCGCCTCATCCTCATCCTCGTCGATTCTTTTCCCCCCGTTCTTCATTTTCTCTGTGTGCCCCTCCTCCTCCTCCTCACCGTCCTTGTCCACCTCGGCCCCCCGGTGGCTTCAAAATTGTTTTCCAGAGGTCCCCGAAAGGCGTGCCGCGAAATCGCTATACACATACAACAATTTCTCACCCATAGACCATACATCGCTATACACATACAAGAAGTTCTCACCCATAGACCATAACTCAGAGCCTCATCTCAATGTCCCCCTCCTCCTCGTCCTCCTCCACCCTCTCCACGTTCCCCTCCTCCTCGTCCCCCTCCTCGTGTTCCTGGTCGGCTTCACCTCGTCATATTCGATGATTCGCCCCCCCCTATCCTCCGCCTCATCTCCATTCGCCTGTTTCCGTCCTCCTTTTTCTCACCAGTACGCGTGCCCGCTTTCGCCGTTGGGAGCCTTGGCGTGATGAGCCTTCTGCGTTACCGATCACTCTGTATTTGCCCTGTGTCTTCTGGGCCGTCCTCTTGGGGCCTATTAGGGGTTCTTTTGGACTGTCTTGGGGCCCTCTTGAACCGTCTTGGGACCATTTGGGACGTCCAATTTTCTCGAATGCTGAGGGCTTAACCGATAACTCTCAGAAGGTCTTGCATGCTTCCCCGATTGCGGAAAAACGCCTGACGGGGAGCTGACCAGGTCTTCCAAATTGTGGTGAGAGTTTCACCGATAACTCTCAGAAGGTCTCGCGTACTTCCCCGATTGTGGGAAAACGCCTCACGGGTCGGCAGGCCCCTTAGGGGCGGCGCGGGCGGGCCGGAGCCCAGCCCCTTGCATCTCAAAGTAAGACAACCATAAGATAAGCTGCACTGAGTGCTATCATAAGACATTGCATCCGAAACGAAGGTTACAGACGAAAGGTAAGCTGAATTGAATGCTGCGCGGCAGGGACCAGACATTGCAAGACGAGAGAAAACGACTAATGATGCTTGACGATTTCGCGCTGCTATCACAAGGAATACAAGGGGTCGGCGGATGTGGCGTAAGCCTGTAGATCAAACACCTACGGCAAGACATGGATTTGTGCCTCTTGGGGCCTTCGTGGGAGGCCTCTTGGATGCGCTTCGGCCCCCTGGGGGGGCTTCTTGGGGCCTCTTGGAGCCTGTTAGGGCTTCTCGGGGCCTCCTGAGAGCCCCTCGGGATGGAAGACTCGGATTTTCGGGTCGTGTCAACCCTCCATCTTGGGGCCGTATTGGGGCCCTCTCGCTCCGCCTTGGACGCCTCTGGCGCCGTCTTGGGACCCCCGTGGGCTGTCTTGAGACCGTCTTCGAGGCCTCTGGGGATGCCTTGGAGCGGAAATTGAAGCCTCTTGGGCCGTCGTGGGGCGTCAGGAAACTCACAAGGCGAGAACTCGAAAATCGATCAAAAACCAAAGGAAAACACATTAGTTGTGCCTCCTGGGGCTCCTTGGGAGCCATCTTGGAGACCTCTTGGGGCGTCTTGGAAGCCTCTTGGACAGTCAGGGACCAATTCTGGGGTGATCTCGGGCGGTCATTGGTCGTGTTCGAAACGCCATTTCTGGCAATCCAGGGCCGTCTTCTGGCGACTTTACAAGGCCCCCAGCGCCACGGCAAGGCCCCCGGGCCTCCCGGCGCGAGGGCCCCATCCCAGGCCCCACCTCGTGCCCGCGGCAGGGCGTCCCTAGGCCGTCTCGGCGGCCTCGTGGGCCGTCTCGGCGCCCTCGTGGGTGTCCGAAATCCATCAAAAATCGAAGGACAATCAATGATTTTGGCGTCCCTTTGGGCCGTGTTGGAAGCCTTGTGGGCCGTCTGGGGGCCATCTTGGGCGCGTTCGAACGATATGTCCTCGTTTCGGGGCCTCCTGGGGGCCTTTTGCGGCCCTTTTCGTTTGTGTTGGGGCTTTCTTGGACCGTGTGGGGGCGGCCCTGGGCTGTCTCGGCGCCCTCTTGGAAGCCTGTTTGGGGGATTTCTGGGTGTCCTGGACCGTCCTCCTTCAACGTCGGCGGCACTGACCGTAAGACTTCCTGGGAACATGATTTGTTGGGGTGTCGTTGGGCGCCTCCGGAGGCTTCGGAACCTGACGCGTTTCCGAGCATGACGGCAGGTAGCGCTGCTTGGGGCTCTCGTGTTTTTATCCTGGCGGGCGTTTAGGGAACATGGTTTGGGGAGAAGGTTGCAACCCGAGAATCATGTTCCTGGGAAGCTTTCCGGGAACATGATTTGTTCGGCTCTCCTAGCAGGGGGGCCTCTGGGGGATTACCGAGGGGCCCTTTTTGGCCTTGTCGGCAAGCCTATTGGAAACATGGTTGGGGCGGTGGACGGAAGCCCAAAGGGCCTCCCTGGGGCCCCTTGGGAACTCATTGGGGCTTCCGGGGGGCCTCTTGGGAGCCTCACGGGGCTTCTTGGGAGCCTCTTGATGGCCTCCGGGGGCGTCCTAGGAGCCTCTCAGGCTGGAGACCTTCAAATGTCGCGCTCTTCGGGCCCTCTTGGGTCGCTCTTGGGGCTCTCTTGGGGCGCTCTCGAAGCCCTGTTGAATTATCTGGGGAGCCTCCTGGGCCGTCTCTGGTCTTTCTTGGGAGCCTCTTCGGCCGTCTTGGAGCGATCTGAACGACCTCTGAAGCCGTCCGGGACCGTGGGGAGGCGGAACATGCGATAGCGCAAAAATGCGGGGCCCTGCGGAGGGGCCTCTGGAGGCGCTCTTGGGGCGTTTTGGCGGCGTCGTCGGCCGTCCTGAGGCCATCTTCGGCGTGTCCGGGGCCTCTTGAGGCTGTCTTGGCAAGCTTTAGGGCCCTCTTGGCGTGTCGTGGCGCGTTGGGGAGCGGACCTGGGCAGTCCCGGGAGCGCTGGGGGCTGTTGAATGCTAGGTGTTGTCTTGGAGGCGGAGGCTGTTGAGTGCAGGGTGGCGCGTGCTACGCGGAAGGGCGGGCGAGCGGCCAGGCGGGCGGCGGGCGGGCGGGCGGGTGGCGGGCGGGCGGGTCGGGATTTGAATGAATTCCTTAAGGGTGCTCTCTTGCAGCAGGAGCTTGTTGAGCACAGGGTGTTGCCTTGAAGACGGGGGCTGTTGACTACAGGGTGTTGTCTTGGAGACTGAAGCTGTTGAGTACAGAGTGGTGCTTGCTACGCGGACGGCGAACGGGCGGCGGGTGCCCTAGGTGGTGGGTCAGAGGCCTCATGGGTGTTGGTTTGGATCTCGTGGTTGGCCTGTCGGGAACGTCGTGAACGCAGTTTCGCATCTTCTCGGTGACCGTTTGGGGGCCGTAGTGGGGCCTCCTCGGGGCTGTTTTGTGGCCTTTTGAAGCCTCGTTTGGGCCTCCTGGGTGCCTCTCGGGGGCCTCCTGGGGCCTCTTGGGGGCTCCTTGGGGCCTCCTGGGGCACTCTTCAAGCGGGAGGGTCGAATTTTGGATTCGTGGTCCCCTCTTGGGCGCATCTTGGGCCGTCTTGGGGCTCTCTTGGACTGTTTTTTTTTACGCAAGGGCAAGGCGAGGTGCAACAGCAGCAGTGGTCTGGCTGATGCGGGCCTACCCTCCGACGAAGTGCCCACAGCATCTAAGGCAAGGACAAGGAAGTTCATCGCAGAGGTGCCTAGCGTGCTGGATCCTCTCGGTTTCGGTTTTGCATTGGGCTTTTGCTGGCGTGACTCTCCAAGCTTTAACTCAACGGTTGCCGAAACATTCGGAAAGCTGGTCATGGAAATCGGAAGCCGGAAAAGGTGCCAAGATGCCAAAGGCCTTCCGATGAAGATCAATTGATATGGTTTCCATTGTTTGCCGCTGTGCAGGGCTGAGACATTCACCTGTTGCATCTTCTGTGTTTGACGTTTTTGTGTATCATCTCTGATCTCCGGAACCAAGCACAAGCCATCGGAGCTCCAAGGTCATCGCACGCAATCTTTGTCAAAAGAGAGGAGTTCAAGCTGTGCATCACTACGTCAGAAAAATGGGCCGCGTATTTACTGTACACTGACGTCGAAGAAAGATTTGCTGCGTACTCCTCCATTACTGAATCGGTCAACCAAGAAGCGAAACCCGCTTTTGAAATGCCTCTTCTTGCATTCAGCTGCCGGTAGACGCTTGCGATCCATTCGTAGAAAGGTCGATAAACCACGAAGATTTTAGTAGCGACGTGCCTTAAATCAGAGGCGAGCTGCGCGATCTGGAGTGTCCGACGGGCGAAAGCCTCACTAGACATCACCACGTGATGGGAGGTACCGCTGAGCTTGTCAATGTACTCTAGCCAATCCAAAGAAGTTTGGTTTTGATTTACAACAAAATGCACAAACATCTCGTCATAGCACGCAGCTACGTTGACGACTTGAATCTTTCCCTGCGAGCCTTTAGCTAAACTTCCGAATTGCTTAGTGCGCAGGAATGTCCAACCTTCTTTTTCCAGCAGGGACGCCCGGTCGCACAACTCTTGTTGAACTGTTTTCGTACCAGTCTTGGGGGGTCCAACGTGAATTACGACAGTTGCGCCATTCTCTTTCGACTTAGTATTTTCTGCACCCATAACCAGTCCGTCGTGATACATATAATAAAAGATGCTGATCGTACTCCATGCTTGCAGCCGATGCGTAGGCATAACGCCGCAATAAAGCAGAGGCACCTAAATCTTGGGCTGCCGCATACGCGGATGACTCAAAGAATGACGTGCTTGCGCCAAACTTGAGCCAAAATGGCTTGAGCCGTGTCTTGGGCGCCTCTGGGGTCGTCTGGGGGCCCTCTTGGGCCGTCTTTGGGCGCTCTTGGGGGTCTTTTGGGCCGTCTTGGAACGTCGGACAGCCGAAAAGGCCAAATCTCTCCAAAACCTTTGAACAATTACCGATTTCAGCCACTTGAAGCGCTCTGGAGAGGCCGGAGCACTGGACCCAGGACCCCCAGAGGAGCCTCCGAAAGTCGAAGGGCGACAAGAATATCGGCGGGAGGCGAGCCGAGAAGTCGAAGGGGCGAGCGCGGTCCCGAGGGGCGACCGGGGCGGGGACGGCGTCGACGACGACGACGCCGACGACGGCGACACCGCCGACGACGGAGAATTCTCTCTGGGATCCGAGGGCCTCTGCGCTGGCCCGGGGCGGGATGTGCCACCGCAGGAGGGCCACGGCGCGCATGGCGTCCAGGAGGCCGTTCTCTTGGACCGGCGGCGGCGGCGGTCCGAAAATCGGCTCGTCCGCACCGTCCGTTGTAAGGTTTCTCGGGGCTGTTTGAGAGCCTCGTGAAGCCTCGTTCGGGCCTCCTGGGTGCCTCTGGGGGGTCTCCTGGGGCCTCTTGGCGCCCCTTTGGGGCCTCCCGGGGCCCTGTGGAGGCGGGAGGCTCGAATTTCCGGTTCGCGGTTCCCCTCTTGGAGCCCTCTTGGTGCCGTCTTGGGCCTCTCTTCGCCCGTCTTGGGCGCGTCTTGGGCCGTCTTGGGGCCCTCCAGAGCCGTCTTGAGGGCCTCTTGGAGGCCTCTTGGGCTGTCTTGGGGCGTCCGCGGGGGGCCTGTGAGCCGTCGTGGAGCGTCGGAAAGCTGAAAAGGCGGGAAAGGCAAAATGTATCCAAACCTTCGTAAAATAAGCGATTTTGGCCTCTTGGGGCCCTCTGGGGGGGCGGCATCTTGGAGGCCTCTTGGAGCGTCTTCGGGGCCTCTTTGGCCGTCTTGGGGCCCCTTTGGGGCCTCCTGGGGCCTCTTGGGGCCCGGCTCGAATTTCCGGTTCGCGGTTTCCCTCTTGGGGCCCTCTTGGGGCCGTCTTGGACCTCTCTTCGCCCGTCTTGGGCGCGTCTTGGGCCGTCTTGGCGCCCTCCAGAGCCGTCTTGAGGCCCTCTTGGAGGCCTCGTGGGGCCTCTTGGGCTCTCTTGGGGTCTCCTGGGGCCTCCTGGAGGCCTACTGGGGCGGAAGGCTCGAATTGTCGGTTCGTGTTCCCCCTCTTGAGCCCCTCTTGGGGCCCTCTTCAGGCGATCTTGGGCGCCTCTAGGGCCGCCTTGGGGCACTTTTTGGGCCATCTTGGGGGCTCTCTCTATTGCGCCGTCGTGGCGCCCTCTTTGGGTGCCTCTTGGGCCGTCTTGAGCTGGTTTCTGGGGCCTCATGGGCTGTCTTGAACCGTTGGAAGCACGAAACAGCGAGAACACGAACAACCTTCAAAAACCATTGAGGAAACCTACTTGCTTCGCCTCCTGAGTGCCTCGTGGGAGCACTTTTGAGGGCATCTTGGCCATCTTGAAGCTCTCTTGGGCTGTCTTCAAAGCCATGTTGGACCAATTTTGGAACGCTCTTGTGCGGTCTTGGGCTCTCTCGGACCGGTCGTGGGCCATCAAGGCGCCCTCTTGGACGTCTCTCGGCCCCTTTTGACGTTTTTTGGCGCCCCCCGCTGGGCCCGAAACGGTCAGACGAAAAAACAGTGCACTTCGGAGGGCCCGGGACCCCCTACCCATTATACGTATATGTATATATATATGTGTGTATATGTATGTATGTACATACTTACATATATACTATATACTATGCATGCATAAACCAACACATCATATATATATATATGTATATGTATGTGTATATGTATGTAAATATGTATATCTACATATATGTTCATACATGCATACATACATACATACATACATGCATGCATACATACACACATACATACATACATACATACACACACATACATACATACATACATACATACATACATACATACATACATACATACATACATACATACATACATACATGCACATACATACATACATGCACATACATACATACATTTCGGAGGGTTCTTGGGCTGTGTATTGGCCGTGTTGGGCCCATCTGGGGCCACGTTCGGGCCGTCAGGGCCGCCTTGGGGCCTCCCGCTCCCGCTGTGGGGCCCAGCATGGGCCTGTCCTGGGGCTCTCTTGGGCCATCTGAGGCTCGTCCCAGGCAATTTTCGGGCTCCCTTGGGCAATCTTGGTGCTCTGTTGGAGGTCTTTTCGGCGGTTTGGGGGCGTCGTCGGCTGTCGTAGAGCGCCGGGAGGTCGAAAACGCGAGACACCGAAAAACATTTCAAAAACCAACGGAAATCAAGGATTTGAGCCTCTTCGGGCTCTCGGGATGCTTCTCGGAGCTCTCTTGAGGCCTCTTGGAGGCCTCTTGGGCTGTGTATTTGCGGTCTCGAACCCATCCTGGACCACGTTAAGGCTATCTGGGCTGTCTTGGAAGGGCTTGTCGAAGTCCCCGAGGGCTTCTGGGAGCTCTCTGGGACAGTCTGGGAGCTCCAGGGCCGCTCCGGGGTGCTCTGGGAGCGGACTGGGGAACCCTGGTCCTCCCATGCCCTGTCGTGGTCGCGGCCCCGGTCGCCCGGGCCTCGTGCACGGGGATATCTACATCTCTCTCTCTCTCTCTCTCTCTCTCTCTCTCTATATATATATACGCACATCGACATATACATATACGTCTGCATATACATATACATTTCCATATGCATCTACATCTACATCTACATCTACATCTACATCTACATCTACATCTACATCTACAAATGACATACATGTAAATATAGATGTACATATTCATTTACATCTACATCTACATATACATATACGTATACGTATACACATACATATACATGCCCATGTGTAAATACATATACAAATGCAGATACATCTACGTATACATATACGCATACATACACATATACATAAACATAAGCATATGCACATACGCATACCTAAACCTATACATATACATACACATATACATATAATTATGCATACGCATATGCATGCATCTATATTGAAAATAAAATCATACCTATACAAATGCATATGCCTATGTACAGATGCACCTATACACAACATTTTGCATATATATATATATATATACATATGTATACACGTGCATTACATGTACATGTACATGGATATATACATATACCTATACAAATACATGTACATCAACATGTGCATACACATATACTTGTACATATGCATGCACATGTACATGTACATATACAGATGCATATATATATATATATATATATATACATATACATACATACATATGAATATGCATATGCAAATACATATACATTTACATATACATGTACATACGCATATACATATACATGTGCATATACGAGAGAGCGTGATCCACCGCCGCTTTACTGTGGAAAATTGCCAACCTTTTCCTCCGGAACCCAGGGGTCTCCCCCCCCCCTCCGAAAATCCCCCCCCCCCTGCTGTATTGGGGCCCTCTGGAGCGCGTCCTGGGCCGTATTGGGGCGGTCTCGGGAGCTTCTGAGGTCGTCAAGCACGGACCGACAGCGAAAACAAGCAATATGTTGAAAATATACGTTTTACAAAGAGAATGGGGCTATTTTGGCCCCTTGGGGCTCTCTTTGGGGCCCTATTGGGGGTCGCTTGGGGTGTCTTGGGGGCTTCTGAAGCCACCTTGAAGGCCATGTTGGGCGTCTGGGAGCGACCTTCGGGCGTCCCGGGTCTGTTCTGGAGCCTCTTGGGGCCTCCTTGGCGCCTTCTGGCGGCCTTCTGTGAGGCCCCGGGGCTCCCCGAGGGCCCCGGGGCCCACATTTGCGGTCGTCTTGGGCCCTTCGTGGGCCGTCCTGGAGCTCTCTGGGGCTGTATTGGGGCCCTCTGGGGCGCGTCCTCGGCCGGACCGACAGCGAAAACAAGCAATATGTTAAACATATACGTTTTACGAAGGGAATGGGGTTATTTTGGCCCCTTGGGGCTCTCTTTGGGGCCCTATTGGGGGTCGCTTGGGGTGTCTTGGGGGCTTCTGAAGCCGCCTTGGAGGCCATGTTGGGCGTCTGGGAGCGACCTTCGGGCGTCCCGGGTCTGTTCTGGAGCCTTTCGGGCCTCCTTGGTGCCTTCTGGCGGTCTTCTGTGAGGCCCCGGGGCTCCCCGAGGGCCCCGGAGCCCACATTTGTGGTAGCGGCGCCGGCCCCGGGCGCACGGACCTGGTGCGCCGTCATATGAATAAATACGTATGATGTTTTACCATGCGTATACATACGCATACGTGAGATGTTACACCATGCATATGCGTACACATACGTAGATGTGATACCATGCATATGCATACACATACGTAAGCATTGCCACTGCATGTACATGCACGCACGTAAGATGCTGTACCATGCATGTATATACATGTACGTATGATATGAGGTCACAGATGTTCATAGATATACGTGTGCTGTGGTCTCAGATATACAGATATACAACCATGCCCCCCTAGCTGAATATGATACCTATGTGTGAATCATACGGGGCGCGCATGGGTTAACATCACACATGCATAGGGCGGTGTGTCCCGACAGGCGGCTCCACAGCCGGACAATTGTTTCAAGGGTTTTGTTTCAAGTTGTGTTTCAAGTTTTGTTTCTAGGGCGTTTCGGATTTTGTCTCTGGGCCCTGGCCTGGTTTTGTTTCTGGGCCCTGGCCAAGAGTGCCCAAGAGGCCCCCCCGGAGGCCCCAAGAGGTCAGAGTTGTGAGGATGCCTCAGGCGGTAGTGGCCAGACCACCTGCTCAGGGCATCTCGCAACTCAGAGTGGCGAGGGTCTCAGGCGGAAGTGGCCAGACCACCTTGGGGCAATGTATCTCCGAGGTCAGAGCTCAGTGCATCTCGGAACCCAGAGTTGCGAGGATGTCTCAGGCGAACGTGCCCGGACCACCATGGGGCAGGGCACCTCCGAGGTCAGAGATCGCAGGATGTCTCAGGCGAGATCGGAGTGAACACCTCACCTCAGGGCGTCTCGGAA